AGCCTGTGTGCCACAACTACTGAAGCCCACGTGCCTAGAGCCCATGCTCCGCAACAAAGAGAAGCCACCGCAATGAGAAGCCCACACACCGCAACGAAGAGTAGCCCCCGTGTGCCACAACTAGAGAAAGCCTGCATGCAGCAATGAATACCCAACACAGCCAAAAATAAATAATTTTTAAAAAAAATTTTAAAAATTAAAAAAGTTAAAAAAGAAAGTATTCTTTCACATACATGGTATTTCCTCTTGTATAATTTACTGCTTTCCTAGCTAATAAAAAATGATTCCTGACGGACTTCCCTGGTGGTCCAGTGGTTAAGACTCCGTGCTCCCAATGCAGGGAGCCCGGGTTCTATCCCTGGCCAGATCCCATATGCCGCAACTAAGCGATCCCGCATGTCACAACTAAAAAAAAAAAAAAGATCCCACATGCTGCAATGAAGATACCGCATGCAGCAACAAAGATCCCATGTGCCAGCAGTGCAGCCAAATAAATTAAAAAACAAAGGCTTCTGCGTTAAAAAAAAAAAAGATTCCTGAAAGGATTTGTATTATCAATATTTTTCTGTAGCTGGAATCAGTAAACTAGATAAAACACATCTCTCACAAGAAATAATTTCCAGAGCTTTAACTTTCATGTTAGTGACCTATTCTTTTGGATTCCTGGGCCCAATTCCAACATGGTGAACAGGGGCGGGGGGGGTGTCCCCCCCACCACCAACAAGCAATTCTCTGCACACAAGCAGGGCATACTAAAATTCAATCTCTACCCCCCACCCGCCCAACTCTCCCACTTCAGATGCCAGTAGCAAGCCCAGGTTTACCTGTACCTCTAACCAAATGACTATAAATCAGAGGTTCCCACAACCCCCATCCCTTCCTTGGGCTCAATTAATTTGCTAGACTGGCTCACAGAACTCAGAGAAACATTTTCTTACTACTGCTAGATCACTGGTTTATTATAAAAGTATATAACTCAGGAACAGCCAGATGGAAGAAATGCATAGGACAAGGAAAGGACTCAGAGCTTCCATGCCCTCTATGAGCTTGCTACTCTCTGCAAATCTCTACATGTTCACTAAACCAGAAGCTCTCTGAACTGTGTCCTTTTGGGGTTTTATGGAGGCTTCATTACATAGGCATGATTTGGTGGCACAGCGGTTAAGAATCCACCTGCCAATACAGGGGACATTGGTTCGATCCCTGGTCCAGGAAGATCCCACATGCCACGAAGCAACTAAGCCCGTGAGCCACAATTACCAAGCCCACGTGCCGCAACTACTGAAGCCTGCACACTCTAGGGCCCGTGTGTCACGACTACTGAGCCCGCGTGCTCCAACTACTGAAGCCTACACACCTAGAGCCCGTGCTCCACAACAAGAGAAGCCACCGCAATGAGAAGCCCACGCACTGCAACGAAGAGCAGCCCCTGCTCACCTCAACGAAGACCCAACGCCGCCAAAAAAACAAACAAAAATTATATTAAAAGAAAACAAGAAGCATTCTATGACTGTTACTAAATAGCGTAAGTTAGCATCTCTCTCTCCTTTTGTTTTTTTCTTCTCAACCTCCTCCAGGAGATATAACTATGCTAATACATACCAACAAGGCCTGAATCTCAGATTTCTAAATATAACTGCTGGAGGCTACATATACATCATTATCTTCTCCTATCCCTAAAGTATCTCCTCTGATATCCAGTCACCCAAACTAGAAATAAAGCAGTCATTCTTCATATACTGGTCTAATTCCTACTCATCCTTTAAGAATCAACTCAGGAATGACTTATTCTAGAACAAGCTATTCCCATTTCCACCCCTGCCTGGGACGAAGCGCATGATTCTATCAGAATATTTAACACACTATATTCTCTATTGAAATATTTCCCTGCCTCTGTCACCTAAACAGCAACTTCGGTGAGAGAGCATGTATAATACAATTTACTAAATTATGTAATGAATTATAATGGTGTAGGCTTGACCAAAGGACAAAATATACTTTGGACTTCTGAAGACACAATGCATATCCAAATAATACCACAAGGAAGGTTTTTCTTTAAAGTATAGTCCGTGAACTACTCATCAGAGTCACTTTGAGACTTTGCTAAAAGATGGAGATTCAGGACCCCACTCTAGACCTATTTTAATAATTCTTAGTGTTTGTCATGTGTATGTAACATCATAAGAATTACTATCTATTTACATCCTATAGGGCAGTGCAAGGGGCCCTCTAGTAGGCCGTACATAAATTTTAATTTTATCTTATTCGTTTAACAATCCAATGAGGTTGATAATATTTATAGGTGAAGAATATGAGGCTCAGAAATGCTGAGTAACTTATTAAAGGTCAAATTGGTAGTAAATGCTGAAATTCAAACCTAGGACTGTCTCAAATGCTGAATTAACAATATTCCTGGAAAATCTTAAAATTTGGGAACCATGGTCATAGGAACATGCTAGAGGATAAAATAGCAAGCAGAGCTGAAGCTATGGCAAATAAGTGGTCCTCCACTAGAACCAAGGTGCGGAAACTCAAAACCTGAAGTCCAAAGAGAAAGCAAATCTATACAGCACGTATTTCAATACCATTGCTCACCCTCTCACTATACCATCATGTATACTCGCATTAATCTACGGTATGTGTCTATTCATATTCCTTGCTCAAAGTACTTTTGCTAAAATTTTTTAGGAATGGAATTGAAACAAAAGGGGAAAAAATATCAGATCTCCACTCCTACTAACTCTGTTACTGAGGAAAAAAGGAATGTGGATATTAAAGGATATGTATAACTAATAACAATAGCCTTTGGGGAGAAGGACAAAATGATACAGATGTTCTGGGAAACAGCAAAACTATTCTAATGGTGGTTGTTTTCCTGAGCATTTAAAGGGTATTACAAATCCTACTTTACACATGAGAACATAGAGATAAAGTTAAATAATGTGCTCAGAATACACAATGCTAATGTAAGCTAAGAGAGAAATTACTGTGAAACCATTTACCAAAGAAAATGAACTAAAAAATACGAAGAGTAGAAATTTTCCCCTCTGGAACAGAGTTCTTTTAGCCATTTGGTGGCCCATTTCTTAAATATCCTCAGAATAACCTCCCCTCCAAAAAGGTGTCATTACCATGCTCTTTCCAGTGCAAGTCCAGTCCTCATCTCCACCTTCCTGCTTCCTACAATCAATTCATCCTGAGATGTTTTCCTTACAATATCTGTTTTACATATACATTTTGGATTTGGAAACTCTTAGATATTTCTGTTCTGACAAATAGTAGGAATTCATGTTAGTACCATTTCTCAAACTCAAGCTCAAGTCTTATTTTTCTCAGACCAAAAAATACCACTTGATTGTTCATTCTCAAGGTCCACATTTCTTGAGCAGTACTCAGTCTGTACTGGTTCTTGCAAACAATGATGAAATGTATAGAAAGAGCACTATTGAGGGTCTGTGAGATCTGGACTCTACTTGCAGCACAGCCACTATAACCAGCTGTGAAACACTGGATGAGAAACTTTATCTCTTTAAAATTCAATCCTTACCTGTAAAATGAAGTGGTTAAACCAATTCTCTCTGCGTTTTTTTCAAGCTATTTCATTCTATGATCAATTATATTAGTAGATGCCTGGCAGAATACAGTATTCTGGAACTAGAATTCTAAATGCCGAAGAAGTAAATGAAACCTTTAAATGTTCTCAGCAAACCATCCTGTTCAGAAGTGCAAAGAGCGAGGTATTCTGGGCACCTGGCACAAGCACATCCCTAGGCCCAGTGGAAGAGTCCACTGCTTCCTTCCCTAAACTGGCTTCCTCCCACCTGTTCCTGATTACGCCTCTTTTTTTTTTTTTTTTTTTTTGCAGTACGCGGGCGTCTCACTGTTGTGGCCTCTCCCGTAGCAAAGCACAGGCTCCGGACGCACAGGCTCAGCGGCCATGGCTCACGGGCCCAGCCACTCCGCGGCACGTGGGACCTTCCCGGACCGGGGCACAAACCGTGTCCCCTGCATCGGCAGGCGGACTCTCAACCACTCTGCCACCAGGGAAACCCGACTCCTCTTTTAAGATCCACTTAGAGACCCTATATTCCTACTAGACTGAAAAAAATACATACTCCACGTTCCCAGATGACTTTGTATATACATCTATTATAGTCCTTATCCCTTATCACATATTTAAATAATTATCTTTCTAGAACAGAGTTAGGCATAAATAACTGAAATGATTTTCCTTCTCTTATTCATCTCTGTAAGCCTGGTCGCAAGCACAGTGTTTGTCATATATGTGTAATACTATAGAAATGCAATTTATTTAAACCCTAAAGGGCAGTCTAGGGCCATGTATCTATATCTATATAGGATATCTGTATCTATCTCCTCTTAATAATCCTGTGAGGTTGTTAACATGTAGAGATGAGAAAAATGAGTCTCAAAAATACTGAACTTACTAAAGGTCTCACTGGTAGTAAATGGTAAAGATGAAATTAAACAGAAACGGTCTCATAAAATGCTAAATAAATGAATGGATGAATTTTTCCTTCCTGACATTGTCAACAATTGGTTTTCTCTATAAAATAAAGAGTCTAAGAATAGAATGAAGACAAAAGCCTAAATAGGAATTACCTTATCTATAAATGCGTATATGCCAATGTAACTATTGTTGATTTACCTACTAATACATGGGAGAAGAAAATACACACACAACACACAAAAGCATTTAATTTACCTAATGAATGTCTACTAAATACAAAGCATTTTATCTTGCTCAATTCCTAGGATCAATCTCCCTGGCTTAGTTCTCTAGTGTTTTTCCTGGAATTTGGCTGACGAGTGGTAAGTAAAGAGAACTAAATTGACCAGATATACTCCTAGGTAATTCAGAGCTCACAGTATTGTTAAACTCACACAAATAAAATAATCTATGTAAAGAAGGCTTTAATGAAATGTAAGTTGCTATAAGCAAAGCTAGAAGAACAAATATAAAAGTATAATTTACTAACCACACAAACATCTGCCTGTTTGCACGAACAGGTTGGACTGATTAACAACTCCAACTGAGACCGCAGTTTTTCATCATCACCAAGGACTTGGTTAAATTTCTTCACAAAATCTTGTGCTTTCCCAGGGTCAGGCAAATTCTCTATAAAATTCAAAGAGAATCAATACTACAAAAGAAAAACCACTAAACTAAAAGCAAGCTGTCTTAAAAAATACTGCTGAGGCATCAAAAGATAATCAGTCAATCTGGCTCTTAGAAATAAAATTATTAAGAAAGGGATTAGTTTTTCTTACTTAGTATTAAATTGATAGTCCCCCTGGGTAAATTATTTGATGTCTACTATATATCTACAGAGTGAATACACATACTCACTTGCTATGGTCATCAGTTTTCCAAACATGGCAGAACAGTTAGCCTCAGACTGAAATTTAAAACAAAAACAAAAGCTGTCACATGTGCTACCAAATTTTGGTGAGAAAACTATACTCAGTATTGTACATTTTTTTAAGTTAAAAAAAAATCCATCACAATATACCCACTAGAAAATGGCTTACCATATCTACACCCTATGTTGAGGACAAAGAACTATGAAGTACCCACAACTATTAAGTTAGCACAAATAGAATGAAAGGAGATGCCAGCAGGAAGTTATTTAAAAATTTTTAAGAGTATATAACTTTCATAGGAAAGTTATCTTGCCAGGAGACTGAACAGAGAAGGTAATGAAAACAATTATCATATCAAAATTACTGTGAAACCATACACCAAAGAAAATTAACTAAAAATGTGGAGAGCAGAAAAATTTTCTTTCTGAATAGAGTTCTATCAGCTGTTTTGTGGCCCATTACTTAATATATCACCTCCCCTCCTACTGCCCTTTCCTCCATTACAACAAGAGTATTATTTTATTATTGAATCTGCATGGTCCCATGAACCACCTGCTTTTGTTAAAGTTTTGTTGGATCACGGTCATACCCATTCATTTGTACCTCTGACTGTTTCTGCACCACAAAGGCAGAGTTAAGCAGTCATGGAGACTGTATGGCTGGCAAAGCCTAAATTTTTACTGTCTGGTCATTTACAAAAAAAAGTTTGACAACCCTTGCTTGGGCCACTGAGGGGTCTCTGTGTATGGTTCCCTGGCTAAGAACACCTATTCTAGCAAATATGTTTAGAAGTATATTAAGAAATTATTCAAATTTCTTTTATCCACCTTCCAGAAAATGTTGGGCAGTATTTCTTTGTTAATTTGACTCTGGCATATTCAAAGGATTGATACCTGATTTGATACTGACTCTATAATAAAGGACCAAATCACAGAGCAAAAAAACATTTATGACTTCTAATTTTATATTAAGGTTTAATTCTAATGATTTGATAATTGATAAACTATAACTTCTTAGTGTCTAAATACTTGATAAGCTGGAAAACACCATTTCTTTGCTCATGCTGGAAAATAAAATTTTGTTATATTCATGTGAAATGCAAATTTAGCTTGGATAACCACAGAAATTGTTTAACTGACATGTGGAAAACAAAACACATGAAATACTTTTTGCTTGCGTCATTATATATGACTACAGAAAAATGAACAATGACTAAAACTGAATTTAAATAAAACACCATGAACCTACCGTAGGCTGCTTGTGCAAATCCAATAGTTCTCGTACATGACTTCTAAGCATGTTCTGACACTTCCACATTTCATTGAGAGCCCTGTAAATAAAGTTATAAATATGAAAAAAATACATAATAAAACAATACTGGTAACTACTCAACCTTACTACTTTTCTTACACCATTCTTCTACCTCTACCTAAAATTTTAAGCACCAGAAAATTTACTTATTAGGATTAACAGAGTTTAGTTTAAATTACTTAATATAAGGCTTCTTATGAGAGAAAATATTTGAGAAGTTTCTAAGGATGAACAGGATCATGCCAGGTAAACTGAAGGAACTGAGACAGTCTAAGCAGAGGAAGCCAGAATGTTCTGCTACAAAGAGAGAGAAAATGTCATCAAAGCCCATGGCACATACAGGAAAGTGAAAAAAAATTTATAGGCTTGGAGCACAGAATGTGATTGGGGGAGCATAAGGAAGCTGGAACATACAATAGAAAAGGATCAGATCATGAAGGCCTTTTTATGCCAGGCTAAGGGGGTATGCATGAAGCAGTGTAGACTATTTCAAAAAATGAATTTCTTAGAAATGATGTGGATTCAAAATGCTAAATTAAACGTGAGTTTCTTTATTCTAGACTCTCTTCTCTCCACGAAAGCAGATTTTCTTCTCTCACAAACCCACTCTGTAATTTCAGGTGCCCAAAAGACCTCTGGGAAGTTAGTCTATCTCTGAGTACTCTTTGTCAAATATTTTGAAATATAAACAGAGATCAAGACCTTAGGCCAGGGGTTTACTACCTACAGTGAACATTATGAACCACTTTCAAATCCTTTTTTAAAATGATGGCTAATGTCTCCTAATAGGATGCACCAAGGATACATTACTCTGTGGACTTTCTGCTGAAAATGCATAATCTTGACCCAATGATGAGGAAACACTGGATGAATCCAAACTGAGAGAACATTCTACAAAATAACTGGCCTAGGCAATACTCTTCTGGAAAATGTCAAAGTCATAAAAGACAAAGACAGACTGAGGAATGGTTCCAAATTAAAAAAGACTAGAGACATGATAATTAAACATGCAATGTGTAATCCTAGAAAGGGAAAAAAACATCCAAAAAGGACATTATTTGACGACTGAAGAAATCTGAATACACACTGGATTAGACAATATTTTAAAATGTTAAATCTCCTGATTTTCATAAAGGCACTCTGGTTATATAAAAGAGTACCCTTGTTCTTAGGGAATACACACTGAAGTATTAGAGGTAAAGGGATCCAATGTCTGCAAATCACTATCAATGGATCAGAAGAAAATACATATATAAAGTATGTGCAAATGGCAAATGATAAAAAGCAAATGGTCAAAAATTATGAATCTGCCTAAAGAGGATATCACAAAGCTTTGTTTTATTCTCACAACTTTTCTGTAAATTTGAAATTATAAGAAATTAAAGGCAATATATATATATATATGTAAATGGAACAGCTGAGGTTCTTATTCAGAAAAATCAGAATTCTCAATGACAGGAGTTATTTAGTTTTTTAAAAGCTTTATTAAAGTGGAATGTCCACACATCCTAGGTAGCCTGGGATAGTTAAAGTTTATGCCAGTTGTCTGAACAAAATTATTACTAGTGCCTCCTTTCAATCTCAAAAATATCTCAGTTTGGACAATCAATCACATGGTTATTCTACATAGAAGTGATCTGGACACGCTCTCCTGACAAAGAACCAGTTCTTAGCTCTTAGGCTTAGTATGGTAAAGCTCCAGTAGTATGATTCAGATCCCAGCCAACAGGTGAACAAAAGATAATTTTGACACGGGGACTTCTTTGAATCCCTGAAACCATATTACTGGCTCAGTTGCCAAATATGCCTATGCATATAGGAATATTTTTGCTTTTAACTTAACTGGACTTATATAATAAAAATTTTCTCTATAAATACTTATCTGAGGTTCTTGATTCAACCAGAAGAAGCAACAACCCTATCAACAACAATTAATTAAATAAGACGAAGTAATTTTATAAAATCTTCAAGAAATACTCCAATCATTTAAAAAGTAACTTACTTGACAGCATTTGGATCCAAACTAGCATATAAATAATACAAGCATTTCATTCTCTCTTCTGTTTCCAGGTTGTGGGGGACAAGATACTGAGCAAAGATTTTCTCTACCAACAGTCTACGAGGCAAACAAACAAAAAACCCAAGTAACAAAATTATTCTATTTGTTAGAAGCCACAGCCATTTCATATTTTATCCACCTCATGCAAAGATATCACACCAATGATGATACTTATCTGTGAAAATACAATGGAAAAGATCAGTATGTGATCATTGCTTTTCCTTGCAAGTATGGCTATTTTAAAATTTAGAGCTACTGTTGCTATTTGTGACTTTATGTTTTATCAGTATGAAACATTTGTCCTAAAAGGGTTATATATTATTCCTAAGCACAGGGTGCTAGGCTGTTCTACCTGTTTTCTTCATCAGTCTGGAGCTATAGCAAATTACTTAACATTACACATAAAGCTATGATCTCAAGAATAATTAATTCTCAAAAAAAAAAGTTTCCTTTGATTAGTTTGGCTCCTTTCCCATGTTGTCACATTTAGTAAAATCAGGGGGCTCTTCCTTCATCTTCCTGAAAATTCAGCTTTTCTTATGCACATCTGTCTCCTTTCCACATTCTAAATTCCTCACCAATATTAAAATATCCTTCTTGCTAAGCTTATAATTATTATTCAACATCACTGGAATAAGAAAATTTAAGGGCTCTGCATTAGTCAATGAAATACATAATCGATCATGTCAAAGTAGTCAGTCTAACTCAATAAAACACTGCAAAGTATTTTGCAAAAACCGAAATCATTACTATAATCCGACAGAGAATTGTAAGTAACATTAAGAAAATGAAAACAATGTAAGTTCTCATCTCAAGAGAAGAATTTCCTAACCATGTACGGGGACGAATGTTAAACAGACATTGTGGTGATCATTAGGCAATATATACAAATATAGAATCATAATGTCATACACTTGAAATTTAATGTAATGCTGTATGTCACTTATACTTCAATTAAAAAATACAGTAATACCTCTATTGGTACTTACAGTGTTGTAAAAAGGAAAAAATAACTAACAGTTATTAAATAGTGCTACTCTGCCAGGCAGTAAGCTAGGGGGCATTACATTCATTATTTTATTTAATCCATAAGACAATTCTGTAAGAAAGGCTTATTATTACTCCTTTTTAGATAAAATCAAGTACACAGAAGTTAAATCAGCTGTGCATGGGCACAGATCTAATAACGGGCAGAATGAACATTTGGTCTCTGGTCTGAGTCCAAATCTCATGCATATTTCACTATTATTATGCTAACTCACAGTCTTGGCTGGAGTCTTATTTAAACATGGTATGTCTAAATACGTAGAAAGTGGTTTCTAAACTTAGAGAAACTAATTATTATGAAAAAATTAAACAGAAATATTTAAAAATTAAAAGCACTTTTATATTCAACCATTTTACCAACATATTAGACTCACTTGTCATCGATGCTATTCTGATAATATATATGCAAAAGTTTGTCCTTTATCCAGCTGACTTTCTCTGCAGCTTCCTTTCCTGCTTCACCATGAAGACAGTATTTCTTATAAAGCTGAGCCAGACCCATCATAGCTTCTTTTCTTACTCGCCACTAGAAAGTATAAAGTTTATTGGATAAGCTAGATACCAAACTTTAGTATACAAATCTGCAAAAATTACCATTTATTCACTAGGTTGCACAATGAGATTTATGTGTGCATAGATTAGCACAATATTAATTTTCAAAAGAGGCAGACAAATCACTTAACCAACAATTTTGATTATGTTCCTATTTAGAAATCATCCAGTGCAAACACTGCTAAATCACCTACCCATTTTTTATTTCCCTCAAAGCCAAGCAATAGTAAATCTTACAAAATATTTCATTAGATTCTGTCTAAAAAAAATTTGGCTAAGTTTTAGAAGTGATTAAAAAATAAAAGAGAAAGCGTCTAATTCACTCTGCAAACAAAAGTCCTATCGTCTGGAATGTTTTGTCCTAGTTACATCCCTTTTGATATTAACTCAGAATAATAAGAGCAAAATTTAGTATCAAGATTTTAGAATTACAAAGTTGGAAAGCACCTTAGTGATCATCTTAAGTGAACTTCCTTACTCTGTAGATTAAAAGGGCAAATTATTTACCTAGTCACATCCTAGTCCGTGAAAGATTCTTTGGGACTTAAAGAGATTGGAATGGTTTATGAGGAGGAAAGAAAGGTGGTGAGAGGAGAGTGGACAGAAAAGTAGCCTATAAAAATCTAGAGTTAGAACAACAGTACGATGTAATAATAATCACAAGTTATTTGTCTCAATAACAAATCAGAGTATACTTATCTTTGGCTTATTTTTTTAAAAAATTTATTTATTGTGTGGCTGCATTGGGTCTTCCTTGCTGCATGCGGGCTTTCCCTAGTTGTGGCAAGTGGGGGCTACTCTTGGTTGTGGTGCGTGGGCTCAGTAGTTGTGGCTCGCAGGCTCTAGAGCGCAGGCTCAATAGTTGTGGCGCACACGCTTAGCTGCTCCGCGGCATGTGGGATCTTCCCAGACCAGGGCTCGAACCCATGTCCCCTGCATTGGCAGGCAGATTCTCAACCACTGTGGCACCAGGGGAGTCCCATCTTTGGCTTGTTTAAGTTAATACTTTCTTATAATTTTTTAGTATAATTTTCTCATTTGTATGCTATTTGGTAGATGAAATGAAATTCTGTTCCCATATAACAGGTAACAGATGTCTTTTGACATGTCTAACATGAAACAAAAGAATGTAAGCCATGAAATCAAAGATTTAAGTCCTGTCCCCACATTTTATAGAAAACAAAATTCAGAAAGGCTATACTCAAGGTCATTTAATTCATTACACCAAAAACCAGTTCCTAAAATGTACAGTAGGTGTTATTTGAATTATTAGACCATATCATACAGTCTCAGTTAGCAAGAATCATTTATTCAACTCTTCCTGAAACTATAAACAAACACTGACAGAAGTAGGAGTGAACTGTTTCTAAAAGGAGGAAGTAACACAAACGGCAATACCTGAAATCTGGTTTGGGAGTAGGGGGCGGGGGAGAGGGGGTAGTTAACAACTAACCAGTAGGGAGTGTCATTTCATTTAAATTAAAGCCAAGGGGAAAAAACTCTCAGAGTTAGAATTACTGACACAGTTGACAAGTTAAACGGTGTCTACTTTATGTATCTGTCTCCTACGACTATTTCAGAAGAACTTAAAGAATGCATCTTGCTCCTAAGTGTCTATCGACAGATGAATGGATAAAGAAGATGTGGCACATATATACAATGGAATATTACTTAGCCATAACAAGAAACGAAACTGAGTTATTTGTAGTGAGGTGGATGGACCTAGAGTCTGTCCTACAGAGTGAAGTAAGTCAGAAAGAGAAAAACAAATACCGTATGCTAGCACATTATATATGGAATCTAAAAAAAAAACAAAAAGGGTTCTGAAGAACCTAGGGGCAGGACAGGAATAAAGACACAGAGAATGGACTTGAGGACACGGGGAGGGGGAAGAGTAAGCTGGGACGAAGTGAGAGAGTGGCATGGACATATATACGCTACCAAATGTAAAACAGAGAGCTAGTGGGAAGCAGCCGCATAGCACAGAGAGATCAGCTCAGTGCTTTGTCTCCACCTAGAGGGGTGGGATAGGGAGGATGGTGGGGAGACGCAAGACGGAGGTGATATGGGGATACATGTATATATATAGCTGATTCACTGTTATACAGCAGAAACTAACACAACAATGTAAAGCAATTATACGCCAATAAAGATGTTAAAAAAAAAGAATGCATCTTGCTATATCTCTATAGCAAGATATTGCTTTTCTACTCTGAAATTATAGCTAAATTACATTGGTTTCAAGAGGGTAGCAGATTTTCAACTATGCTTCAAATAAAATACCACACTGCAAAGGCAACCTTTGTTGAAGATGTTAATAAGTAACACATTTAATCAGCCTGCCTTGCCTGTGTATCTCTTACTCATGGTTGACACTTTCTTAGCAACTGCTACTACTGTTCTTAGTACTGCTTTTATCAACCCACGTTTTTAACTGCATCCACATGGAGGAAATTACACAAAAAGAATAGTAACTAAACATCATTTCGACCCTTAGCTTAGCACAGCAGTATGGAAACACCACTTTCATAGAAAGTATGATATTCTAAGACAGTTACTTTTGAAGATGCTAACTATAAAAGACTGGTGATCAATCACTTCTGAAACTTCCTTCTGAAACTCATCATGTAAGTGTAAAGGTAAAATAAAACTTTAATTTAGCTGCTCTTTTTGTAAAGGTAGGCTAAAAAACCCATGCCTAAGATCTGAAAAGCTACAGAATCCAATGTATTCATTTGTAAAGATAATTAAAAGATACACAGGAAACATACAAATTATTAGCTTTTTATTTGGTATTGTATTAGTTTGACTTTCACACAGAAGAACTTTAAATAGAAAATAATTTCTATTTTGCTAACAACGTAAACACAGTAAATTATAAAAGAATAAAATTCCTCAGATTTTACCCGTTTGTCCAGTGTTCTTTCTCTTACAAAGCCAAGTAGCTGATCATTTACTAAGGCAAGGTCTCTTTTGGCAGCTGTTATTATAGTAACAATGACATCATGACGAATAGCTTCTTCTGGATCATGTGATCTAACTTTCAAGTATTCTGAAATAGGAGAAAAAATTAAGCTAAATGTTAGCTATAATATTCATTATGTTCAGAATGACAAAAAAAAAACTAATGCTTTTAAGTTTATGTCCATACTGGAACAATGATTGTAAAATGTGGCATAAATTAAAATTCTTTAATTTTTGAAGTGGCAATGCCCTACATAATAACAAAATAAACTAAACCACACTATTTACTACTGTAAAGTCACATCTTAATAAAACATTTTATATCAACTATTCTGGAAAAGCCAAATCGGCACCTGAAATCAAATCAGCACCTGATTTAATACAGTTTAGAATTTAAGTTAACGATACATATTAAAAGACTTAAAATATAGTAAAAATGCTTATAGCAAGTTTGCTGATAGGTATATATCTTCACATTACACAACATAAAATAACATTCTGTGACCTCTAAAAAAAATCCTAAATAACTACGATACAAACAAAGTTATTTCCTCTTTTTTGGTAAACAATATTTTGATAGCAGTTATTTATTTGTTACAACCAAGTAAGTAGGTTTAAATGCTCTACTTCAAGAGAAGAATGAGAAATTCTAGTCTACTTCAGAAGAAATCATTTTCCCACCTATTATTAGATATGTTACTGTATTTAATTATCACACAGATATAATGATTTGTGCCCAAACCCAGAGTCATAAGGAAGAGTCTACTTCCTCAAACTATGATTTCCAGAAAATTCCAAAGGATTACAATGTGAAGATTTCAAATGTAATTTTATTGTATAAACATGAAATCCCTTACTAGTAGTCCATGACTGATAGAGACCTGAAAGAGTGCCAGAGTGAAACCTATTCAGAAACCGAAGTTAAAGTCAAAGGCCACAACTAAAATATATTTGTGTGATTACTCTCATACTTCAATAAACCAGCTACCTTACCTGTGAGATCCTTTGCTAAATCTGGGTGATTCATTAAACAGTGACTCGCAAATTTCACACTTTCTAATCTCACAGGAACATGAATGTCATTGAATCTACATAGAAAAAGATTGCTAATATTAATTGTAAGGCAAAATAACTATTTTCAAATAAGGTATATCAATGCTACGTAAATACCTATAAACAACAAGTTACTGATTATAAGATGTGTTGGTTTATTAAAATGACAGTTAACTTGTACTGAAGGAAGAATATAAAGTAAAAAGATACATAATTTCACAAGAATATTTTTTACAACAGGATTTTTTCACCATGCTAAAACAAAAACGGTATAAACACACCCCCCAACCCAAACTACCTTCACTGGAGAACCAAAAAATTGGAGCTTAAAATTATGCTACAAAACAAACAAAAAATAAATATTCAAAATGCACAAAATCTATTTGAAAGAAGTTAATAGGAGGAAAATACTAGAGGAATGTGAGGTAGAAAGCAAATCATATATGAGGCAGACCCAGAAATTCAAAGATAAGTACATAAAATACATGTGCCATATTGCCTCATGGCAAAAAAGTTTCATATGGCTGGGACCAACCTGTAACTGCTATTTTAGGTCTAATATATTTTAAGAACTTAATAATATGAAACTCAGTATGTCAATTCAGAACTGCATATAATACGGATAAGCTGAGAAACTGTCAAGTTTTAAATTTATTGGGCAATTTAAAAACATATTTATTAATTATGAATAATGTGATTTTTTTACCCCTTAATCTCCCTTACCCATTTCTCTCCTCTCCCAACCCTCTTTCCCTCTGGCAACCACCTGTTTGTTCTCCTTATCTATGACTCTGTTTCTGTTTTGTTATGTTTGGTCATTTGTTTTGTTTTTTAAATTCCATATGTAAATGAAATTTGTCTTTCTCTGTTTGACTTATTACATTTAGCGTAATACTCTCTAGAGTATCCGTCCATGTTATCCCAAATGGCAAAATTTCATTCTTTTTTTATGGATGAGTAAAATTCCCTTGTTTATGTATATACATAAACATGTATCCCAAATGGCATGTTATCCCAAATGGCATGTTATCCCATGTTATCCCAAATGGCAAAATTTCATTCTTTTTTTATGGATGAGTAAAATTCCCTTGTTTATGTATATACCACATCTACTTTATCCATTCATCTACTAACTGGGTACTTGGGTTGCTTCATATCTCAGCTATTATAAATAATGCCACAATGAACATAGAGCTAGCGCATGTATCTTTTCTGATTAGTGTTTTTATTTTCTTCAGATATATAATAGTTTTATTTTTCATCATTATTATTTCTTTTGGCCACACTGTGTGGCTTGTGGGATTTTAGTTCCCCGACCAGGGATTGAACCTGGGCCCTTGGCAGTGAGAGCATGAACCCTAACCACTGACTGCCAGAGAATTCCCAATAGTTCTATTTTTAAATGTTTGAGGAACCTCCATACTATTTCACATAGTGGCTGTACCAATTTACATTGCCACCAACAGTACACAGTTCTTTTCTCCACATTCTTGCCAACACTTGTTATTTGTTGTCTTTTTGATAACAGTCTTCCTGACAGGTGTGAGGTGGTATCTCACTGTGGTTTTGATTTGCATTTCCCTGATGATTAGTGATGTTGAGCATCTTTTCATGTGTCTGTTGACATCTGTATGTCTTCTATGGAAAAATGTGTATTCAGATCCTCTGCCCATTTTTAAATCAGGTTGACTTATGTATGAGTTCTTTGTATATTTTAGATATTAACCCCTTATCACATATATCATTTGCAAATATCTTCTCCCATTCAGCAGGTGGCCTTTTCATTTTGTTGATAGTTTTCTTTGCTGTGCAAAAGCTTTTTCGTTTGATGTAGTCCCATGTGTTTATTTTTGCTTTTGTTTCCCTTGCCTGAGGAGACACATCCAAAAGCATACTACTAAAACCAATAAGTGTGTACTGTCTATGTTTTTTTCTAGAAGTTTAACACCTAGAAAACTTCTAGAAAAAAACACATAGTACACACTAGCATGTTTTGGACCATGATGTCTTCAGTCTCATGACTTATTTAAAAAATTTAAGACTCTGAACATTCTCAGATGTGAATTATTTATTCTAATGACATTATTTTAGCACACACAAAAAAGATTAAAACCTGTTATGTGGGTAAATAAGACAAAGCTTTCTTCATAAAGAATTTGTCTTACAATTTATTCTCCAATAAAGACAGCAACACAGGTACTAAAGACACAAACACATATCAAAGTTTTGATATGTGTGGTTTTAATCAAGTGCACCACATTCACTAGCCTCCAAAATATAAAAGTTAGAATCCACAGAATTATGTTCTCTTACCGTCCAAGAAAACACTGCCACAGAGGACGATTCTGTGTTGCCAAATCGGAATCTTTAGAACCAAACAATTTAGCTAAAAGTCGAACAACAGCTAATCGCTCTTCTCCATCGTTGCTCTAAGGGAAAAAAGAAAATAAATAAACCCTGAGGTTTATTCATCAGATTACAAAAAAATAACATGAAACATTTCTGAGAAGCTACAATTTCATTATTTCTGCTTAAAATGATAAGAACTTTAAAATATCATGTTCTCTCATTTACTGTGCAGAAGTTGACTTGATTCCATGTTAGATCATCAGGTTCTTTGCTCTTATTTCATACACTTCCAACTGTTAATTTATGCCTACTTCACTGCTTGTTTGCAATCTGTACAGATGCTGTAGAAACATGAAGATAATCATTCAATTCTAACATTCCCTAAGAGTCCTAGAAAAAATTCTATAAAGGGAAGAGCTACAAATAATTCCTGCCCTAATCCTATAATTTGATCTCCAACATAAACCCATATCAATTAAGGTTTTGATACGTGAAGTTTTAATCAAGGTTCCCCTGCTGACTGGAGCACATGATACTGAATAATGTCATGATTCAGGAAAACTCATTTTAATAGAAGAGCATGAATCTTAAGAGTACCTAAAAGGTCAGGTGAACTGAACACTACAAAAAATCAAAACTTGATGCCCCCCACCGGACCAGTGAACCGGCTTCGTCCCGTGCTTTGGACCTTGGGCCTCGCTTCTCCTCCAGATGGACCCCAAGTGCTCCTGCCCCACTGGCGGCTCCTGCACCTGCACTGGCTCCTGCACCTGAGAAGCCTGCAGATGCACCTCCTGCAAGAGCTGCTGCTACTGCTGCCCCGTGGACTGCGCCAAGTGTGCCCAGGGCTGCGTCTGCAAAGGGGCCTCGGACAAGTGAAGCTGCTGTGCCTGGTGTCGCGGAGAGCCTGCCCCAGGTGTCAAGACAGCAACCAGGACAAACCTGCATTTTACCATTTTTCACACAACCGGACCTGACGCTACATTCCTTTTTCTATGAAATATGTGAGTTGTAATAAAAGTTGTTGACTTAAAACAAAACAAAACTTAAAGTTATTTTTTGATAGAGGCCTATTTTCTTATTCTGAATCAATATACTCTATAAAAAGTGTTCTAGTTTTCACTAGTGATGTCACGTCTTAATATAAATTAAGTTATTCTGAAACCATATGGTGCATGAAACTTTTTAAAAGTCACATATTCACTAGGAAAATAAAAGCAATAATGAAAAGCAGTTGCTAATTTGTAAAGCGTTCAAATATAACGTGTCTAAAGCAATACCAGCAAGTCAATAAAAAAAATATTTATGGGAAAAGGCAGTAAGTGAAAAAAGAAAAATGACTCCAGGATATCATCTTTTCCTTAAGAATGTCTCAACTCTCAGGGATAGGGGTTTTGTGGTTAAAATAGGCACACTTACTAAACAAAGATAAAAATGAAAATTCAAGCTTTAACACTTATAACTACAAAAATGATTTTCTTTCACAAAGTTTTTCGCAAGCAATGTGACTACAATGCAGATTAGTGCTTCCTTTTGGTAAGTAAGTCCAACTTAGTAGCCAACATGATTTATTTTTTTAAAGAAAAATCAATCTATCCCTTAAATGTCAAACACTAGAAAAACTAGAAATTTTACTTTACTTGAAGGTGACTACTTTAGTAGCTTAGTGATTATTTCAAATGTGACATTTCACATCTATGTAATTTAACTACTGAAATAAAATTAAATGAAAACTCGCTCCCACCCCCTGCCTTCTTTTTCTTTTTAATTTAAATTTTTGGCTGCACTGGGTCTTCGTTGCGCACGGGCTTTCTCTAGTTGCCGAGAGGGGAGGCTACTCTTCCTTGCGGTGCACGGGCTTCTCGTTGTGGTGGCTTCTCTTGTTGCAGAGCACGGGCTCTAGGCACACGGGCTTCAGTAGTTGTGGCTCACAGGCTCTAGAGCACAGGCTTGGTAGTTGTGGCACACGGGCTTTGTTGCTCCGCGGCATGTGGGATCTTCCCGGACCAGGGCTTGAACCTGTGTCCCCTGCATTGGCAGGCAGACTCTCAACCACTGCGCCACCAGGGAAGCCACCCCCGGCCTTTTTGAATTTTTAAATATGTTCTCTGAGTGAGGTTGGAATATGATGATAGTGCTGGTAATTTTTTTCTGGTGCAAAAATCATTTGGTGTCTCTGATGTACAGCTGTTATTAGTAATCTATACCAAAGTGAAAATTATCTCATTAAGATATTACCTAATACATTGTTTGAATACAAATATATATATATAAAATGTTAATTAAAATAATGGGTAAAATGAGAAATTCTGCATTAGTAATTTACCAGTGACTTTCTGAAAGAAATTCAAATAACCACCTAGTTTTTATTTTTCTTCAACCTTAGTTGAAAAAGGTAACCACTCTGTTACTGCTTCTAATTACAAAGTAATTGATTCAGAACAATTCTCTGTAAAAATTTTCTAAAACCAAAATAAAGCAATTATGACTGTTTTATGTTTTAAATTGGTGAATAAATGTAAATGTCTATCTCTGCCTAACATGAAAAGTCTTATATATAAAATGTGGCAAATTTTCTGACTATAGCAAAGCTGCTAAGTAGCACAACTCCAGAGTATCCCTTAAAACATAAGAGACAATAGCACTCTATGGACCCACACAGTGGACAGTGTATACAGTTGCATGCAGTGGCCCAGTATAAAGCAAAATCAAACAAACTGTTATGTTGAAGCATTTTCTCAAGTATTTTTATTGTTCTCAGAGGACTGTAACCTAGGACTTTTAACTATAAAAAGCTGTAGCTATATGATTCAGGGATATAACTACAGAAAATCGCCACAGCTATAAAAACTTCCTAGGCTATCTGCTTAGCACACACTGGTGACTCCAAAGGGGGCACCCTAATTATATATAGATAGTACCTAAACTACTCTGAACCTCATGAGCCACAACTACTGAGCCCACGCACCACAACTACTGAAGCCTGCGCACCCTAGAGCCTGTGCTCTGCAACAAGAGAAGCCACCGCAATGAGAAGCCCGCGCACCACAACAAAGAGTAGCTCCTGCTCGATGCAACTAGAGAAAGCCTGAGTGCATAACTGAATCACTTTGCTGTACACCTGAAACTATCAACTATATGTTGATAGTTTGATCAACAAACTATCAACACTGCTAACCAACTATACTCCAATATAAAATAAAAAGTTAAAAAAATGCATACCTTAACTAAATATAAGAAGGTAAACTGAACTCACATTTTATTCTTTTACAGTTAGAGAAAAACAATATGATATATATTTTTCTCTTAAATGTTAAAGGGCTTAGAAATTATAGTCAGTCCTACCTTCAGTTTGAATTCAAGCTGCGGCATGACAGATAATAATAAATGAGGATCTATAGCAAAAAGTTCCTGAATCAGATCAAATACATGTTCTGACAAATCACTTACTGATGATCTTCCCAGCACCAGGACTTGATTGAAAAACTACAGGAGATAAACATAAAAATAAAATATCTGTTTCATTTAAAAACTTAGATAGGTTTTTTATAAACATGTTAAAAGAAAACGATATAATTAGGCATTCCATATACAAGTGAAGGTGGTGAAAAAGAACAGATGTTTAAATTGCTAATATATATGATAGGACAGTCCACCAAAACAGAAGAAATAAACCTCTAAATATCATCAAATTATGAATGTTACATGAAAGAGATAAAAAGTAATTGAGTTGTTAGCTTTCTTTCAAATTAGGATGACAATTCTAGGAATCTTAACTTTCATTAAAACAAAACAATTTAGATAGTTTATGTAATTCATTATAGAGAATTTTATAGAGAAATTTCCTTTTATAGCACAGAAAATTTTTAAAAGTCTCAATCTTTTGGATTTTTATTTAAGCTTGAGGATTCTCTCTATTAGTTTAGTAATAAAGAATAATTGAAGGTGGAGGATGAGTTGTTTGTTTTTTTTTAAATACCCAGAAAGTCAAAAACACTGTAACTCAGAGGACAAAGAGAAGGAAAATGTGATGATACAAAGGCTGATAATTCAAAAGAATTCTAGGAAAAAGAAACAAAGAGAATATAAAAGCACAAATTAAAAGATACCTCCACTCCTTGCCAACACACATAAACTTAGAAAAAAAAATTAAATGTAAAAATGCTACAGAGGCAGTTGTATGCAACCGATTTGAGCATATGTTTTTGGTAGTATCATCAAATGATGTATTTCTTTTGAAAAGCAACACACATTAAGAGTTAGAAAACATTAATATTTATTACACAGACCTTGAAAAGAGTAAGGAAAATAGTTTTAACAAAATTAAAAAGTACACATGCACACACAAATAAGCACGGAACACAAATTCTGAAAGGATACATGAAAATCTATTGGTGATGCCTATTTCTGAGAATTAAGAATAGGGTATTCAGGGTTTGAAGAGAGACAATTTTCACTGTATACCTTTTGTACTACTTGAGAAAACATTTTTTTTTTACCACATTTAAGTATTTATTTAGTAATATAAATAATACTAATAATTCATACCATTTAAATTAACAGACTCTCACTTGGGTTTTTATATGTAGAAAATAATTAAACAATAGATAAATGCTACAAAGATAGTTACTAAAGATAGTTACTAAAGATAGTTACTAAAGGAAAACACTGAAAAAATCTAAATGCGAGGCAAGAAAGAAATGATTAGGTAAATTATATGTGAATTCAAAGGAATATTTATAGTCATTCTTATCATAAAAAAATCAAAATATGGAAATACATATATAAATGAAGACAATTCAAAGTTTTATATAGTATATGAAAAAAATAGGTAGGAGTTTGAGCAAATGTTCAATAATGAAATTGCTACATTAAGGTAGTAGAATTATAATTTTTTTTTCCAAATTACTTCATTGATTTTTTAAAGAGCAAAAAAAAAATGAAAAAACTTCTATTCAATAAAGTAAAAAAAATAAATTTATTACTCTATAACAATTATTTAAGAAGGCAAACCAAAAAGGTTCAGAAGAATGGCCTAGAGACATGAAGAAGAACATATAGAGAGAGCCATAGATAACGATGAAAGGAGAAAGTGAAACAGATCAGCATATCCAGGAGATAAAAAGATAAATACAAAGGCAGTAGAAGAAAGAGTAGAAACTGTAAACAAATTTTCATAAAATAACATCCTCCCATCTTATGCCATTTAAAAATAATGTCTATAGCTTACAAAGTTATGCTGCATTTGGTTACATTTAGACATATCAGTTTTTTATATATTTCTTATAAAAAGATGAAACTGTTTACAGGCTAAATAAGCCTTTATGTGAAAGGTTTCAATAAATTAGTACAATGGATTAAGAACTATAGAATTATGAAAAAATATATAGGCAGAAATACATACATTGGCAATGCATGCCTCAATAGTCTGGACTGTCCTTTTCAATAGGACTTTTGCGAGGTCAAAGGACTGTTTATTTAAGTTCTGAAACACAATAAAAATATGCAAAGTTACAAACGAATTAGTGAATTTATGATCTAGATAGCAACACTAGAACACCAAAGTCTTCAAGTCCACAAAATATGAAGCAAAAAATATAACTGAACTCCATTCAAGGTTTTACCCAATATCTGCTAGTCAAGTGGTCATAAATGCAGAAGTTGCAAATAGCACAACCATGAATCAAAAACTAAAATACATTAGATAATTAGCCAAAAGCCCAACCCTATATTAAGTTTAGTTTTACTAAACTCAAAATGGACCTAAGGCTTTTTGGTTTTGTTTGTTAACCAATTTGAACTGGCAATCACACCCATGCATCCTAAACAAATACACACACATGCACGCACGCATGCACACACCCCTTTCGAACCCACTATCCTCAGTATTTCACCGTCTAATCAACGTCTGTTCTGAGCAAGAGTGGACCTGGTAAGTATTTCTGGTAAAATTCTCAGTCAATTATGTTTTTAAAACACTAAATACTGTCTTCACTCCTCAAGATTCCCAATGCATGGTAACAAATTAAAGGGTCTGAGGAAGCCTATAGAAAAGACATATATTTAATTTTTAAAAACTTACTGAAAATGAAATTCTTGTGTTGAAGAGTACCCATTAACATCTCCACACTTTGCAGTTTTAGACCAACCTGAGATTCACTGACCATCATCTCGCACCTATCCCCAAAAAAGGCAAGGATATCCTATACTCTAGGTTAGTAGTCAGCAAACTTTTTATGCAAAGAGCCAGATGGTAAATAGTTTAGGCTTTATTAGCCAGCCATATCGTCACCACTGCAACTACACAACTCTGGCTGTTGTAGCAGGAAGCAACCACGGACAAAATGAAAACAAATAAGCATGGCTGTTTTCAAATAAAACTTTTACATAAATAGGCAGTGGGTCAGATTTGGTCTACAAACTGTAGCTTCCTGACACTTGCTCCAGGTTTTTATTCCATTGGCAAGAGGATAAGATTATCTCAAAATTAAGGCAACCTTGGAGGAAACAAATAGGTGAGGGAGATTAAGATACAAACTTCCACGTGAAAAATCAATGAGTCACAGATATGAAATGTACAGAGTGAGGAACATAAGTCAATAACTATGTAATATCTTTATATGCTGATATATTGTAACTAGATTTAGGTGAGCATTTTGAAACGTATAGAAATATTGTGTAACAGGAATTAACATAGTGTTATGTAGGTCAATAACAAAAAAAGAGATCAGATTTGTAGTTATGGCGGGGGGTGGGGGGGCAGAATTGGATGAAGGCACTCAGAAGGTACTTCCAGCTATGAGGTAATAAGCACTAGGGATAAAAGGTACAACAATGATAAATCTAATTAACACTGCTGTATGTTATATATGAAACTTGTTAAGAGAGTAAATCCTAAGACTTATTTCATCCACAAGAAAAAAAGTTTTTTCTATTTCTTTAATTTTATATCTATGAGATGATGGATGTTCACTAAACATTTTATAATGTTTAAATTAAATGAAATAAATCATTTCATAATATAAGTCAAGTCATTATGCTGTATACCTTAAACTTATACAGTGCTGTATGTCACTTATAACTCGATAAAACTGGAAGAAAAAAATTAAGGCAACCTTTCTATTTCCTAAAAAGGTATATTTCCTACTCATTAAAAATAACCTCTAACTAGAATACAAACACCAAATACACTCTTCCTCAAAAAGTTTTCCTTTATTTTGCCTGACATATACTCCCCCTACGCCATACTCTCAAAATTTTGACCAATTAAAGACTCATTTGAATTAAAAAAATGCAAATAATATATAGTGAGTAAGGAGAAAAATTTATAATTGACTGCATCTTATTGTGAATAAGTATCATTAGATACATCTTCATTTAACATCTGATAATAGGTCACTGAACAGTCAGAGGAAAAGGGCAGAAGAGTAAATATCAACAGTGGGGTAGGCCTGAGTCCACTCCAGAGGGGAAGCTGGTAGGGAGCTAAGTCCTTCAGTTTCTTAGGGGGAGCTAGCAAAGAGAAACAGAAAAGGAAATGGAGAGGAATATACAGCTCTGAATCATCCTTTTCCCCTTAACATTAACCACATAGTTCCCACTTCTGCCTAAATCTTTTTCTGAAAGTGCCTAAGAAAAATGTAGGACATGGGTTCTGAGAAGAAATACAAATTCCTACACTCTACATCTATGTTACAAAGGAATAAATACATTTTCTTTTCCAAAACAAACAAACAGCAACTAACCAAGACAGTACTCCAATCCCTTGTAATTTCTAGATTAGATATGAGTGGTCAATCAATCTGGAACATTTTTAGTTTTCCAGAGAATAGGCAGCACTTAACTGAATGAAAATCTTCCATAATATATTAATCAATATATCTTCTAAAGATAACAATAGCTATAAGACCAATATGTGTTACTCTATTTTATTTGGGGCTGGAGAATGATAATGGGAATAACTACATGGGATTGCAAATGGTGAAAAACAATTATTTTTCATATGTGTAGTACTACCATTAAATATTAACTTTTAATATCTTCATACTATACAGACCTTATGTGCAGGAATGAGGTTAATAAGAATGGAGTCCAATAATTCTTGAGTAACTCCATCACCCTCCATGATGATAGAACTCATCAAGTCTAGCATGTGCATTTGTACCTTCTTATTGTGGCTATTGCTTTAAAAAAGAGGAAGAAAAAAGAAAAAACAATTAGGCTTACAAAAGAAAATTAAACTTCCCAGTTTAAAACAACTATCTCAAATGTAAAAGGATTTTCACCTGATTGAGGGAACCATGCCAGTAATGGCAAAGAAACTTTGGCTGCTCTATATTTACTTTCTCCCTTTGTTGATTATTAAAACAGCTACTAAGATATCATTGTCAAGTATTTTACAAAAACAAAAACCTTTAAATTTAATTAAGCCCCTATACAATTAGAATTCAAAGAGTGAGTTAAATTCAACTAAACAAAAATGTCAACTTCAAAGAAAGGACATCTTTGCTTATATGCCCCTGGATTTTAAAAGGTGATAAAATTTTAAGTAAGGAAACAAAAAAAATGTACAAGATAATGAAGGTAGGCAGTTTTTCATCCTTTTTATCCTTTTTGATCTTAATAATTCCTCCAAATAAGGCAGAACTATAAACACACAAAAAAGCCTAAGTCAACACTCCTATATCTTTGCCACTGGGCTTTTTAGTTCAACAATACTGAAAACCCAAAGTATGATATAAAATGCTTACCAGAACTTATAACTAGAAGGTTCTGAAAATGTCATCCTGCTATCTCTCAAAGAATTTCAAACGAATGAAAAATCAACGAGGTAAAAAGCCAAGAATCAGTTTCAGTCCTGCTTCCTTAGCCAGTATAGAGTCAATGTGGGCCTCCTCAATAAATATCTCTACTGCTGATACAAACTTACCCAAAAAGATTGGCTACAAAATTGTTATAAATTAGTAGAGCATCTAGGTTTCTCCCTCTCTGACTGCATCTTAACTAAAGACTTGACCTATCCATTTTCACATTTATCAGAATACATATGCAAAGACAAATCAAGATAATATAACTTAGTTGTACTACTACAGACACAGGGAAGTTTAAATTAAGACTAAACTAAATGTTATTTCATTTATGTATTTCTTACCTATAATTTTTAAAAAATTAGTTTGAAATAATGTATAATACACCTGTTGGACACTTAGTTGTAAAATCAAAGATGAAAAAATTTATAAAGTTGGTAGAAAAATTGTCCCATCATTAGAGACACAGTTTTCTACAAGGCAGAAAAATACCCCTTTTAGAAAGATACCCCTCTTGCATATCCTCTCCTAAATATCTTGTTTACTATAGGCCAAGATTGTGAAAGATCAATTATATAGTGGGATGTGTGTGTGTGGTAGGGGGTGAAGAAGAACAGATATTCAGCTTGATGCAAAAGAATGAAGACAGTATATAGCTCTCAGATCCATATGCACTTGAGGATAGGAAAGGAGTGAAGGAAAGATAAATGAAAAATGGACTTAAAAATTATTTCCACAAGTTCCAGCCCAAGCTTCAATAACAGGGGTAAGATTTACTCTCCTACTTGAACAACTAAAAAACTGGACAGAATATAAGAAATAACAGTTTTCAGATATCAGACATTATACACATGCTGCTGACAGAAGGGAACAATTTTCCCAGCTTACTTTTCCTACTTGGTAAAGTTTCCAGGCTTCAGTGTGGGAAGAGAAGATACTAGCAGAGCCTAATGGTTTTCCTGAGTCTGGGGTGACTATAGCTTGCAGGGCAGAATACCAGAGGGGAGAGAGCTACTCAGAGAGCAAGCTCACAGAGGGTACCCCCCTCCCCAAGTCTTCAGGTGCTTAGTGATCAGCACACGCAGGTGAGGAAATTTCTTGAGTTTGGGGAAGGTACCACCTGAAAGGCGTGGAGGGAATAATTCCCGGAATTCACACAGGTCTTAACAATGTGCATGTTCCAACTACAGTGGAAAATCTTTAACTCACAGGGCATCTAATAGAGTAATCAGAAGGGTAAACCCACATATCCTCTATGAGCTCCACCCACAATGGGACATCAAAATCAAACTGTTTAAGACCAGTAATACAGAGAAAATCTTAGGTGGGTAGAGAAAAAGAAGATACATTATTTACAGAGGAACAAAGATTTAAAATGACAAAACTTATCATTAGAAACAATGCAAGCCAGAAAAAGATGCAGGAAACATCTTTAACAGTACTGAAAGAGAAAAAAAAAGTCTATTAACATGAAATTCATACCATGAAAATAACTTTCAAAAATGAAGGTGGAATAAAAGACTTTTTCAGACATATAAAAACTGAAAGAATTCTATCAACAGTAGCTCTGAACTATAGGAAATGTTAAAGGAAGTCCTTCAGAGTAAAGTAAAATAATACCAGATGGAAATCTGCATATATGCGAAGGAATGAAGAATACCAGATATATGGTAAATGTGTCAGTAAATACAAATCAATAAACTCCTCTATCAAAAGGCAAGTCCTTTATTTACTGATATCTCACTGTGAATTCTTTCAATTAGATAATTAGGTCAACAATAAACTTAGATCTTCAGAGTCAGTAAAGAAAATATTGATAGGATTGTATGTAAAAGTAATAGAGGAAAGAAGTGTAACTGCAGAGTGGGAAGCGGACTTAAGTGGATAACCAAGGTCACAAAATGGGCAGAGTGACAAGTCAGGCATCTTTTTTTCATTTTGTTGGTGATTTTAATATTAAAAGAAAAAACTGCAAATATGTGGTAGAGTGCAAACAATGGCCAAAACTGTTCCCATCTCTTATGCACAAGCCTTTAAAACGCTGCTCTGTCCAACAAAATATGGAGTCTATCTAACCAACCTTTGAATCTGGGCTTGCCTATGAACCTTGCTTGGCCAATGAAATATAAGTAAACATGAAGTATGCAGAGGTCTTAAAAAGTGCTTGTGTGGTGGGGTGTGCCCTTCTTGCTACATTTGAAACCCAGTCAGCATAAGAAGAGGTCTGAACTAGCCTGCTGGATGACAAGAGAGTGACACGTGACCCAGTTGTCCTATTACCTCAGCCAACTGCCAGATGTCCTGCTAACTGACTGCAAATACAGGAGCAAGTCCAGCCCAGAGAGAAAGAAATGACAAGCAGAATCATGAGCAAAATAAAATGGAATCTGTTTTAAACTACCAAGTTGTGGGGTACTTTGTTACGCAGCAAAAGCTAAGTAACACAAAGGTAAAGTTTATACATTTTATCTTTTATTTAAGGGCCTTCAGTTAGTTGCCACAGGAAGCTTTTTCTCATGCAGTTTTTTTATAAGCTTCTATCACTAGACCAGGTTGGTCCAGTCCTTTCCTGTTTATTTCTGGTTAATTCTCTTCCTACCAGTCTATCTAAGGAAAAGAAAAATATGTTAAAGTATTCATAAGAAATCTACAAAAAACTTTAGAAATGTGCTGTCCAATACAGAAGCTGTTATCCAACAGCCATTTGGCTACTGAAGATAAAGTCTGAATAGAGCCTTATGTTGAAATAATAATGCTTTTGGATAACATGAAATAAATAAAGTATATTATTATTATTATTATTATTATATATATATGTATTTGTTTTTGCGGTACGCGGGCCTCTCACCGCTGTGGCCTCTCCCGTTGCGGAGCACAGGCTCCGGACACGCAGGCTCAGCGGCCATGGCTCACGGGCCCAGCCACTCCGCGGCATGTGGGATCTTCCTGGATCAGGGCACGAACCCGTGTCCCCTGCATCGGCAGGCGGACTCTCAACCACTGCGCCACCAGGGAAGCCCAAGTATATTATTTAAATAAATTTCACTTGTTTCTTTTTACCTTTCTTAATGTGGCTACTAGAAAATTTAAAATATATTTGACATATATTATGTTTGCATATAATGTAATGTTGCAGAACACATCTCATAACAATGCTTGGTTTACTACACACACACACCACACACACACACATACCAGAATGAACACACACACACCAGAATAAAACACTGGATTGAAATCAGTCACACACACACACACACACACACACACACACCAGAAACACTGGACTGAAATCAGTCACACACACACACACACACACACCAGAATGAAACACTGGATTGAAATCAGTCTCACACACACACACACACACCAGAATGAAACACTGGACTGAAATCAGTCACACACACACACACACACACACACCCCAGAATGAAACACTGGATTGAAATCAGTTTTGGCTCTCCTGTTCAGCAATTTGTGCCCTGGCAAGCCACCAAACTCCTCTGTACATGAATGTCCCTATTTCTATAAGGAAAGAGCAATGCTTACGATTTTTTTAAGCTGTAAAATGAGATGATATCAAAGTCAGTATACTTAACCGCTGAGCTATTATGCCTCCCAGTACTCACTAATGATACTTAAAATACTTAAAATTTCCACCTCATCAGTTAGTACTTCATTATATAAGGTCTCATACCGCTTGCTTTACAGGAGTCAACCTATACAATTGATACCATTATTTAAAATGGTAATATAAGGACAAAGGCAGGTTTCAGACAACAGAATTTATTTTCCTTTTTATGTTAACTCTTCTAAGGAAAACATTTCCTTTTAACTAAAAGATCTTAGTGTAAATGCACAGTACATGATACTTTAATACACAGAGCAAGAAAAAGAGACAGAGATGCTTAAAAAATAACTTACTTGATCACTGAGAAGAGAGTCCTAAAAAGCTGAATAAAAATTTCATTGCAATCTTCCAATTCAAAGCAGATGTTATATGATTTAACCCAAGCTAAATTCTTAAATAAATAAATAAATAAAATTATTTACACATACATAAAAGTTACACAAAAGCAAGCTCATTAATAAAATTTAATTTTTAGAATTATAAATCTATAGTAAAACTTATAATGGCCCAACATATAAAATTACAATTGTTTAAACAGTCGTACTCTGATCTTTAAAAAGGCGTATCTGCTGGCATTAACCTTCTCTAATTGAAAAATACTGTCAGAGGCTAGTAACACATACATACGTACAAAATATAGGGCACAGTGAAAATTAATTCAACTTAATCTCTTTTGGGATTAGAAAAGAATAAAAACAGAAATATAAAAATAAAGTTTCAAATAATATAACAGCTTTGCCAGTGGAATATGCTTTATCTTTTCAGGATATGAGGAGCAAAAAAAAAGATTGTAAATGACATTTTCTTAAGTGGGCTTCATATAAAACAAAACAAACAAAAGATTCATTTTACATTATAAAGTTACTATAAAGAATTTTCTACAACATGAAATAATGTGATATTTATTAAATAAAATTTGTTTACCTCTAATAAATAAAAGTATCTATTAAACTGCGGGCTCTTTGTATCCTCCAAACCCTTTAATTGTCTGGTAATAAACAAAAATATGTCCTGTTTTAAAAAATGATAAAACATATTAATTTAGATACAAATACTTGTCACTTTCATATTAATTTAGATACAAATACTTGTCACTTTCACAATACACTAATAGTCTATAATATATATTCTCCATTATAGACAATAAAAGAAAATTCTCCTTTAGCCAATGACTTGGGACTGGCCTAGTCCATTACTTAAAATATCTGGAAAACAGCAAATCACCTAAAATTACATTCTTTAGAAGCAAAAATAAAGATTATTACTGCCACAAATCTTTAGGCTTTCTCATTCTGAGAGGACCATAGGTTCTATATCTTGCTACCCTTCTAGTATAGAACTTTATTCACTATCTTCATCTTGTATTACGGCAGTTATCTTCAGTTTAAGTACCTGGATATGAGTCTCCCATTATAATTTCCCAAATTAAATAGTAATTTTCAGTACCTAGTTTTGAATTTGATGAGTGACTACAAAGTTGTGTGGAACAAAAGCAATAATAGACTGGTCCAAGGGTTGTACTTTCCACAACAATAGTGCTCCATTTCTTAATAAGCTTTCTTTATAAGTTTTAACCCCAAATAGTATCAGTATGGAACAAACTGATTTTAGGACTATTTAAAAGAAGCAATCCAAAGGATTAAAGTATAAAAGTATTCAAAATACGAAATCAGCTCAAGAGATCAACTCAAAAGAGGAGTTCCTCAAACATAGAATTCTAACAAAGGCAGAACCATCAAGATGATCATACAGTTTTGCATATAATATAACTTGCAGGGGAAAACAGTCATTTGAATGTGTAAATTCTGTTATATAGTTGTTTTAAAAAGTGTCATTCATCCACCATCCCCCCTTCAATTCAGCCATCTGGGCTTTGAGATGGATATTCCTGAAGGTTAGATATGAGCAGACAGGGACTAGTTTTGATCCATACCTTTTAATGCCACATAAAAATACCAATCATTTTTGTGGATACTCAATATTAACTGAATGAATAATTAATTAGTTTTAGAACTTATGATATAATCTTCTTACACTCACAGGATGATTAAAATGAAACCTATGTTCCTAAGGGTAGTAAGCTAAACTATAAAAGTAAACCAATTTTGTAAAGATTGTATTTACCTTAAGTTTATCATGGGAAGTATATGGAGCTTCTGGGGCATAGATTCTAAAGATGTCAGCCAAACAGCATGCTACAAGGAGACGCACATCTTTATTGGGATTCCTGAGAAAAAATTCAGATGCTAGATGCAAGGCTAGTGGGAGATACTGCTGTTTTTCATCTTCTGAATCCTGATCCATATCCATAAAAGTTTTGACTACCATCTGCAAAAATATATAGAAGAAAAATATAATCAACTCTTGATATTTAGAAACCAGTGGAGTATATATATTTAATCATCTCCATTACAACACAGACTAGCAATCAGTTACCATCAGAGGATTCACAATCAATTTTTGTACATCTTCATTTAAGAATTCGAGTAAAGATTACAAGCGTGAACAAATGCCAACTTTTGGATTACTGATAGATACATTATCTGCATTTGTACCAGGTTTATGAAGAACTAAAGACTCTCGTTATTATATCTAGCCCCAGGTAAAAAGTCCATGGCTTCATATGGATAAGCAAATCATTTGTTATTTTGCAACCTCATCAATTATGTTTCTTGTACATTTTATCATCAAAGCTGCCTTGATTTAGGCTCCTTAAAACTATTTCATTTCACACTTTAATAGGTTTTGCAATTCACAATAGAAAGCCATGTTTAAATATTTTTATGTAGTTGTACTTCTGATTAAAAGCCTTAATTATAAAATAACCTCTGTTCTTATTTATGGTTACAAAATTAACAAATGCACATTTTAGAATCACTCTAAAAGGCAAAAAAAGTATAATGAAAAAAATCCATAATTTCTCAACCCCAGAAAATAACCACTATTTATGTTTTTGTGTATTTTATGCTGGTCTGTTTTCTCTGTAAAGATGCAAATAACCATATAGTCATTCCTTATTCATTTATCCAATCATGATTATTTCCTCATGTCACCAAAATTCTTCTTTAAATAAATCAGACTTCACCTAACCAGTCACCATTCTCAAATATTGAAGGTGTACTTCTATTTCTATTTTGACAAGACTTTTTATCGTAAGTGCTGGGTTTTTTCAAATACTTTTTTCTGTGTCTACTGAAGTGATGTTTTCCACCTAATTCTGTTACGAGAGTAAATCCCACTGACTGTTTTTCTAATTATAATCCAATTTTAATGTATAACATACACTGTCCTAAAATATAGACAGGTATAGTATGAATGACCTAACCTGGAAAAAACAACACAGATGAGGATGACTGTAAATCACTATTCCTTATGAGCCTAAATACAAACGTTAGGAATGGCATCTTAAAGAACTGAATTTGGTGATTTTGTTATAAATGGCTTTGTGCTCATACAGAGCTTGGGGGTGGGGAAGGAGGAAGGGAACAGTAAAAGTGGAAACAGTCAACATCTGGAGAATACAGGAGCTCTCTACTATTCTTGCAACTTTTCCAAGTCAGAAATTATATCAAAAGAAAAAGTCAAAATTAAAAAAGAACACATTTACCACATGATATGGGACAAACATACATATATTAATAGTTGAAATGAAAGTTCACCAAATAAGACCTGTCTTTTAAAAAAATTTTTAACAAATAAAGTTAAATATTAATCAGGGGTGGGGAAGATGTATTATTCTTTTTCTGATTTTAATATATAAAATTTTCTGATTTTCTGATTTTACCTGTGCATCACTAGTTTGATATAGAGATGTTAATAATATGGAAATAAAATCACATTTATAAAGTATTCTAATTCTACTTTAAAACCTTTTAAATCAGAAATGCATATGGCATAGTGATTTACAGTCATCCACATCTGTGTTGTTTTTCCCAGGTTAAGCCATTCATATTATACTTGTCTATATTTTATGACAATGTGTGTGGTGCATTCCCTTCTGAAAGTTTTGAATCCTAGCGAATTCCCAAGGACCAGATGTTCTTTTTAAAATTATTATTTTTTATTACACTACTATTACTTCATCCAGAGCTTTATTTCTTTTAACATGTTTTGAAATATTTGTGTTTATTCCACTTGATTTTAACATTAACATATAGCTGAGAAAAATGTTTTCCAGTTTTAGAAGTCATTTGTTTCTTTCACCTAACTCTTGTCAGGAAAAGAATTTTTATCTGTTTTGTTAACAGTTGTATCCTCAATGACTAGAACACGACTGGCACATAGTAAGCTTGCAAACTTTTTTTTGAAAGAACATTAAAATTCATGACCCGGAGCAAACCACGATTTGAAAAGATACATGCACCCCAATGTTTACTGCAGCACTGTTTACAATAGACATGGAAGCAACCTAAATGCCATTAACAGAGGAATGGATAAAGAAATGTGGTACATATATACAATGGAATAATACTCAGTCACAAAAAAAGAATAAAATAATACCATCTGCAGCAACACAGATGGACCGAGACTGTCATACTGAGTGAAGTCAGATGGAGAAAGACAAATATCGTATGATTATCACTTATATGTGGAATCTAAAAAAATGGTACAAATGAACTTATCTACAAAACAGAAATAGAGTCACAGATGTAGAAAACAATCTTATAGTTACCAGGGGGGAAAGGCGGAGAATGATAAATTGGGAGATTGGGATTGACATATACACACTACTATATATAAAATAGATAACTAGTAAGGACCTACTGTGTAGCACAAGGAACTCTACTCAATACTCTGTAATGACCTATATGGGAACAGAATCTAAAAAAAGAGTGGATATATGTAATATGTGTAACTGATTCACTTTGCTATACAACAGAAACTAACACAACATTGTAAATCAACTATTACTCCCATTAAAAAAAAAACCAAAGCAACAAAGTAAAATGTTAAGATTTGATAAAGGTGAGTGGTAGGTACATAAATGTTTGTCTTATTATTCCCTATGAATGTTTGAAATATTACAAAATTATAAGGACGCAATTTGATTAGGTAAAATGAACTTTTGTTTTTAAGGTTTGGGGTGCAAGTTTCCAATATGACTTGAGCTACCTGGGAGATTTTCCAGAACAGCTGTTTCAACCATGTTCCAACTTTGAGGTTCCTAGTAGCCCTGGTAGAGGCAACAAGACAGCCAAAAGGAGTGGTGTGACGGGCACATGCCCAGGTTCTCTCAGTTGCTTGCCTCTGAGCAGCTGGCTTTTCATTAGCTTTATATATTGACCTTCTGTATTTGGGCAGTACAATATCCTAAGACTAAAATAAGTTTGTAAACCATTGCTACCCCTCATAAAAGTTAGGAAGCTTTGCGTGGGGGAGGATTGGGAGTTTGGGATTAGCAGATGCAAACTAGTTTATATAGAATGGATCAACAACAAGGTCCTACTGTATAGCACAGGGAGCTATATTCAATATCCTGTGATAAACCACAATGGAAAAGAATATGAAAAAGTATATGTATAACTGAATCACTTTGCTGTACAGCAGAAATTAACACAACATTGTAAATCAACTATACTTCAATAAAATTTTTTTAAATTCATGAAATATCTTTTTAACATCTACTCTGATAATATATATCATGTATATTTTTAAAAATATGATTCATATGTCCCTACCATTCTGGCAAAAAACTTCATCAGTTCTAGACAATCAGTATATTATGTCTGTTGCTCGAAATTTGTTTAGAATTTTTAAGTAAATATAGTCTAAACATAGGTCTATAGCAGGGGTCACAACTCAAGAGGAAGGAAATGGAAATAACCACTTGGGAGAAATGGAGAGCACATGCCCCATCCAAAGACAAGAGCTGGTTTCAGCTAATTGTTGCCAGGTGAGAATGCAGACCTAGTACTGCAAAATCATTCAGTTGATCAGGACACAATAAAACGTTAAGTGAAATCATCCGACTTGAGAATTTCAGCAACTCCAAAAAGTTCATACCATTGTGAGGGACAAGCAAAACATGTCTATGTGGTCCTCAAATCAACAATTTACAAATTGTAAGAAATATTTCAAAGGAAAAATGTCAGCACAGTCAACTTTTCAGGTAGACAAATTATTCTGAAAAGCTGTTTTGCCATTTCTTTTATACTTAGTTTTCTTTAATTAGTTATAAAAGATTATGAAGAAAATATTCAGTAAACTGAACATCATTAAAATCCAGAGAGCCTTCAAAATGTTAATGAGGATTTTTATAGCACATACTCCTAAACCATACCACAGAAAATATCAATAACATTTTCCACGCCCAAAAGTAATGGTAAAGACAGACCACTTTAGAACCTACCCAAAAAAATTAATTCCCAGTGGGATAAAAATCAAAATTTGAAAGGGACATCTAAGAAAGTTTTTAAAAATTAAGAGGGGGACTTCCCTGGTGGCGCAGTGGTTAAGAATCCGCCTGCCAATGCAGGGGTCACAGGTTCATTCCCTGGTCCGGGAAGATCCCACATGCTGCGGAACAACTAAGCCCATGCCCCACAACTACTAAGCCTGAGCTGTAGAGTCCACGAGCCACAACTACTGAGCCTGTGTGCCACACCTACTGAAGCCCGCGCCCCTAGAGCCCACGGTCCACAACAAGAGAAGCCACTGCAATGAGAAGCCCGTGCACCACAAGGAAGAATAGCCCCCACTCTCCGCAACTTGAGAAAGCCTGTGCACAGCAGCAAAGACCCAACGCAGCCAAAAATAAATAAATAAATTCATAATAAGAGGGACTTCCCTGGTGGCACATTGGTTAAGAATCCGCCTGCCAATGCAGGGGACACAGGTTCCAGCCCTGGTCCAGGAAGATCCCACATGCCGCAGAACAGCTAAGCCCGTGTGCCAAAGCTACTGAGTCTGCGTGCCACAATTACCGAAGCCCGCGCACCTAGAGCCCGTGCTCTGCAACAAGAGAAGCCACCACAATGAGAAGCCCATGCACCACAAGGAAGAGGAGCTCCCGCTCGCCGCAACTAGAGAAAGCCTGCACGCAGCAATGAAGACCCAATGCAGCAAAAAAAAAAAAATTGAGTATATTTATGATCTTGAGCAGGAAGGATTTCTTAAATCAAGACACAAAAAGCACTAGCTATGGATTGATTCTTTCCATAAATTAAAGTTAATGTGCATTCATCAAAGATATCACTGAAGTTTTCAAAAAGACATGCCACTTAATGAAAGTAGATACTTGTGACACGCATAACCAACAAAGAACCTATCTAAATATATGTAAAGAACTCCTACAATTCAGTAAGGAAGAGAAAACCCAATTGTAAAAT